GATTTTTTGATTTATTGTAGAGATGAGGTCTCGCTGCCCAGGCGGGTCTCGAACCTGTGGGCTCAGGCAATCCACTCACCTCAGCCTCCCAAAGCGCAGCATTACAGGCTGAGCCACTGAGCCCGGCTTAGATGACTATTTTAAAAGCTGGCACAAAAATGTGTTATCCTCCTTAGTTATGCTAGTCAGAATGAAATATCTTATTTCAACAGAAAAACTTGTTCAAGGTATGATACGTCTTTCCCAGGAAAACATATGTTCTGAGGAATAATTTATGAGCTATGCTGCTTTGAAACAAAGACTTGAAAAATTAAAAATAAGTAATCAATGGTGTTTGCCTCACAGATCGAAAATGTGTCCACTGAGTGCATCTTCATAGATGATGCTCTAAACTGCATTACAGCTGCCAAAAAACTGTATGCAAAATATACTGAGCTCTGGTTCTGACCACAGTTGATCATGACAATTGTTTAAAGTACAGCTTACACAGTTATTTATTGAAACCTACCATGTAGAGCACTATAAAAGTCACTTGCAAGAGACGGAATTATGAGTAAGATATGGAAAGTGTGACAGAGTAGAAAAGGCAGAAGTATGAATCCAAGTTTTATCATTTACTGTGTGAGCGACTTCCCTGAGGAAGTTAACATCAAAATAGGCTTAAAATGGACGTAAAAGATTTCTACAGGGTGTCTGAACAACCTACAAGGTAACATATCTGTAAAATGCTTTGCCAAGTGTCTGACACTTAGAAAGACCTCGGAACATGCGAGTGGGCTCCTCCCACTTTCTCTGTTCCACCCTTCCCCCCACAATTGATAGCCAGAAGGAGGTCACATCCACTTGATCAAAGAGAAACTGACATGATAGGGGATTTTGATGAATGCACCTGTCTGTAAGTAGCATATAATTCTCATCAGTGACAAATTCAGAACAGCAACCCAAGAGTAAAAAGCATCCCCTCCTTTCTTCGGATCCATACTTCTATCTAAGTCAAATATGCTTCCTTCTGTTATTCACCAAGACCCACAATTCACACATATCGCAGGAAGCCCTCGCCTCCGACACAAGCAAGTATAATTTTTTTTAATGCTAGCAAAATCACCAGGGCTGCCCCATCGGAGCACCCAGGTTCCTGTTCCTCCTCTTTGCAAATGACTATTGTTCTCATGGGAGACCCAGCACCGTTTTCTTCTTTCAACCGTGCCCCTTTGGTCAGAGAAAATAGGGAGCTGGTATCAACACTATGTGTGCAGGTGACTTTCTCCACTTGGGACTTCTGTTCCAGCTTTCATTTTACTTACACAGTTGTCACCTACCTATCAAACTCATCCACCTATAAAATAAACTCCACCTCCAGTCATCTCTCTAAACGGCAGAGTAGAGATTGCAAAATCTTGGTGTGTGATCATCTAGGTCACCTTCAATTTGGGAAATGATAAATGAGAGCTTGGCTGTGAAGGAGAAGAAAGTAAAACTTGACACCGAAGAATGATAGTAAGAAAAAAAAGAGCACAGCTAGCTGCTAAGTTCCTCGAGTGCCCCTTAGGAGTTGGGTATATTCGAGTATAGAATAATTCACAAGATTACAATTGCATATAATTTCATTGAATATCTATTTCTATGCTGAACTCAGAGTGTTTGTGTGTTAACTTAATCATTTATCCATCCACTCATTTAACAAATATCTATTGAGCACGTACTGTGCGTCAGGCACGGTCTAGGTATGTTTTTCTTAGAGATAAGAGGAGACAGCTAGCAGAGGAGGGAATCAGAAGTCAACTGCTCTGGATAAGTACAATGGCAAGCTCCCTAAAGGCGCTGACACTTCTGTGTTTTGTGAAAGGAAGAATGTGATTAGTTACAGCCGTGCCAATAACCTTCTTCCCCTCTATTTACAAATTCCCCAAAGAAATTAGGTAAAGTCAAGGAATCTGTCAAACTCTATCTCCATATGACTTCATGTTTGCTTTGCCTTTTCTGTTTCGGAATGGTCTGTGAGAGTATGAAAAGAGTGTGTTATGCACAGCACGTATTCATCGTGAGATTGACCATGCTGGTGCACACCAATGGTACACATTTTCAGTTGGACCCTAAAGTCAGTTAAGAAAGCAAAACTAATTTTGACTACAAGTCTGCTGCTTAGTGGACGCAAATTCACTAGGAGATTTTTCAACAATTCTTGCTCATTTCCATTCCAGAGGCATGTCTGTTTGGGAGAGGGCTCAGAATGTAGATGCTCCGGACAAAGTGTTTTATCCGTTCATGGATGATATTAGAAGAAAGATAGTGTTAACACAAGAGACGGGAGGTGCTACTGGTGCTTGTGAGCAGAACCCACTCAAGTTTATGGCTCTATTTATTTAAGAAGATAAATCCTAAATTGCTCTGGTCACTACTTTCCAGGCTTTTACTTTCGTTCATATGAAGTATTGTTATGAAGTAGCTCCCTTACGCAGGCCAGGGGAGGTAGGGTTGAAAGAAAACGTGTGTCAGGAAGTGGAGGCATCCCATGGACAACTTTGATACCATGAGCTGTTTGGGTTGTGCATCAGAATGTACAAAATCGTATGAAATCAGACGGGTAGAAAAAAAAGACAATGCCTAGTTAAGGAAGGTAAGTATTTGCTCAAAGAACTTAAGTGACCCTCCTCATCCTGTCCTCTCTTCTTCCGGCATCCTATCACCTCCTGATGTCCTATGTCACGAACAAAGAAAACCGTCACCAAAGCCACCACTGTGTTGAAATCACGGCACTTCATTTCCAGAACTTTTCCGAGTGGCTGTCAGGGAAGGTTGTGGTGTGAATTCAAGCCGCGTGCCAAGTTGGGCTGCTCTGTCTCTCCACACAGGTGTCCCTAGTGCATCTTCTCAAGACGGTGAGGCTGCTGCGGCTCTTACGTCTGCTGCAGAAGCTGGACCGGTATTCCCAACACAGCACGATTGTCCTGACCCTGCTCATGTCCATGTTTGCCCTCCTTGCCCACTGGATGGCGTGTATCTGGTACGTCATTGGAAAAATGGAGAGGGAAGACAACAGCCTTCTGAAGTGGGAAGTTGGTAAGGGCTTGCGTTTGTCACCTTTTCCACTTTTAAGTTGAAAAGAGAAAGGTTGTTTAGAATGTGGAGGAAGCGAAAGATAAGCTGTAAAGATTTTCCTTCTTTTACCGTCCATTTGTTGAATTGAGTCTGTGACACAAGTAATTCCTTTCAAAAAAGTTTTCTGAAACAACCTTGTATTTTTTTTCCTCCAAAATTAATGGTTTAAACGTTCGGGCTAACGTAACTGTTTGAAATGACCAGCCAGGCTGCAGAAGGGTTTAGATAAATAACGTGCTACCTTTTCTGGACGTGTTCTGATTCGGGGCTAGAAATGGTAAATCACTGGGTAACTGGTCTATCGTCTATCACAATGACATCTTAAATCCTAAGAAAACAATCACATGCATTTGAGGCGGTGTGTTAACAGAAAAGACACGCCTACCAAAGAGAGAGAGAGAGAAGACTATTATAATGATATACTTTCCACACTGAGCACACTTCGAGGATTTTTGAAGACAGAAGGGACTATATATTTACAAACATAATTTACAAAGTTTTGTGTCCCCATAATACATGGGAGCTTCAGAGAGATTTTTCAAGTGTTATATAATTCTGCATAAATGAATCTGAAACACTATGCACATGAACACATTTTTAAGCTTATGTCAACCACAGGAAATTTATAGAAAATGAAAATTCTCAAGACTATAACCCTCTATCCCAAAATATCTGCATTCTTCTAACAGCCATACCCTTTAGAGAATGGTCATAGTACCCTATGCAGAATATAGAAAATCTTTTTCTTCATCTGACATTTAATCAAAAGAATCTGCCTCTTAGTTGGCCAGAAAATTCTTCGCTTATCTTCTCCACCAAAAATCAATCTTGAACTTTTGAGAGAAGCTCAGACCTTTGCACAGGAATAAAGCCCCAGGGGACTCCCAGGAGACAAAAATGCCCAAACTTTTCATACTAGCACTTAGTGGCTCAATGTACCGGGAACATCCTTGTGTTGGCTTTCATAAAATGCCACCATCCATTGGGTAAATACAAAGCCTTCGGGGGGGAGGGTGGTATTGAAGGGGGAGCCAGAAATCAGGTTCAAGAGACTATCTCCAGTCCAGGTTCTTAAAAATGTCTCCACACAGCTCAATTGTATTCCTGAGCTACACAAAACAATAGATGTGTTCTAATAATTTCATCTCAGAATGATTTTCTTATCCTCCCTATTAAAGCACCACTCCTATGCCTTGCTGTGGGTCTCCTTTCTCAGAAATGAAGGAAATGGGGAAATAAAACTGCCGAGTGAAAGCAAAAATAACCTAGAAGAAAATGACATCAGATGAGAAAGAGAGAGTTAAGAGTTGGTTAAAAGGAGGGGCAGGGTCTGAATTGTACATGGATCCAAATAGTTTCCATCCATTGATATTGCTTCCCTCTAAGACTTTGTCTTGAAGCCTTCCTCATCACATACTATGGCATCGTCTTAATGGTGCTCAGTAAATTGTAGCATCAGATCTCTGCCCTTTGTTTTGAATCTGTATTAAAATTCTGACTTGTGGTCAACACCCGATTCCTTTTTAGACCTGACCTAATTTCCATCAGGTCCCAGCCCTATACGCTCTTATTAATTTGTGAGGCTTGTCTAGTCTGAGAGTCTCCAGATGGGGAGATTTAGCTTATTCACGCTCTCAAATTTAGTTATGTGAGGAAAGCTCTCTGTTTCATTTCCAACATGTCAGTCGTGCGGCAGACTCACAATCTAGCTGTTGTTCTTCTCCCCACAAACAGGCAGTTTGCCAAGAAAAAAAAGGAGCCAGCCACCTGAACTGCATCTATGCTATCTCCTTCCTCGTACTCTTGGCCCTGGTGTTATGGTTGAATGTAATGAATGGGGTTGTAAACTGGAACTCTACGCCTTAGGGAGAGCTTTGGCGGGGTACACTGGCAGGAAGGGCATTGGGCAGGGCAGTAGGCCTCCCCTGTCTTCCTGTTTCCGTCACCAACTGTCAGATCTGCAATAATTTTGTTCCTCTGTCTGGGCTTCAGTTTCCTTCTCTACAACATGAGAAAGCTCATCATATCATTTGAAAATTGGCCAGGCACGGTGGCTCAGCCTGTAGTCCCAGCACTTTGGGAGGCCAAGGCGAGTAGATTGAGCCTGTGGGTCCGAGAGTTGGTCTGGGCAACTCGGCAAGACCTCGTATCTACAATAAATAAAAAATTAGCCCTGAATGGTGGCGTGCGCCTGTAGTTCCAGCTACTTGGAAGGCTGAGGCAGAAGAATCGCCTGAGCCCAACAGGTAGAGGCTGCGGTGACCATGAGTGTGCCATTGCACTCTAGCCTGCGTGACAGAGTGAGACTCCAACTTAAAAAAAAAAAAAGATCTGTTTTGGGTTCTATGATTTATGACTTTCACAGAAAAGCAAATCTTGTACTGTAATGTGTGGTTCATATATGTATATATATACACACACACAGAAACATATATATATGCACATATAGATACACACAGATATATATATGCATATATATATATATACATACAAACATATAAATAATCTTATCTTTCAGTGTCCACATAAACCATCAATTGCAGCTATCTAATGGCAGCTGGCTTGAAGGTATGTCAGAATGGACATCCTGCGATCATGGCATGTCAAGGAATTGTTATGTCTTCCTCAGTCATGATAAGAATGACCAAACATTAATCTTTAGAGAATTAGATTTCCTGTCCAAATACTTCTCAGAATATGATTAGGAAGGTAGTAGGTTAATTATATCTGTAAATATTGGGTTTACGGGCTTGGCTACAAGGACTTTCTCTTCACCTAAAATTACTTGGATCATTTGTTCATTTAAAACACTATCCAGCTGAGACTTGGACACAGATTAAATAATTGTGACCTTCCCTACCTAACATTATAATGATGCAGCTGAGAGTCTAGGCTAATTTAGCTTTTACTTTGTAATTTAACCACTAATACGTTTTACCTTTTTTGGTTCAATGACCATGAATCAAAAAATGCCTCATACAATTAAAATTTGAGGTGAGAACATGTTCTTTATGTTTGTGGTTGACATCAGATGTGTAAAACAGATTCATCTTCCTGAAAGATAAAATTCTATTCTAATCATTTTTTTGTGCTGAAATGATTTTTTTTTGTCCTCTGCAGACTCACTATGTGCAGCTAGAGAGAGTTCCAATATTTTGTATCAGACCAAATCAGAGCTAATCTTTAAAAGCTGTTACAGCATCACTTCTTTATAAGATACTCATTTTTGGAGGGAAGAATTAATGACTTGTAGACGTGTGATGCCAGAGGCTGGCTATGAAATGCTTTGCCTGGTGTTAGCTTTTGCTTCATATTTTTATGTATTTCTGTCTTGTACTTTGGGGAATGTTTGAAGTTCATTGATTGTCTTATGGAATTTTTTACTTGAGAGGATCTTAGTCCAACTCTTTGATTTTGTGAAGAGAGACCTGGCTCCAGGTTGTCCAAGCCCCAAGAGGGAAGGGGCTATTGTCTCTTTTATCTATTGCTATATCTTCATGGGGTATATAATTCCTGGCACATGGCAAGTGTGACAAAAAAAAAAAAAATGTGAATGAATCAATCTTCAAGGTCATTTAATTGCCACATGACAGTCACCTAAGAACCTAAATTCCCTATCTTCTTGTCTAGAATTCCTTCTAATAGCATTTTGTTTTCATTTTTGTTTTTTGAGTCAGGTTCTCACTGTCTCCCAGACTGGGAGTGCAGTGGCATGGTCATGGCTCACTGCAGCCTCGACTTCCTGGGTTCAGGAGATCCTCTTGACTCAGCCTCCCAAGTAACTGGGGTTATAGGCACATGCCACCATGCCTGGCTAATTTTTTAAATTTTTTGTAGAGACGTGGCCACACCTTGTTGCTCAGGCTAGTCTGGAACTCAAGTAACCCTCCCATCTCAGCCTCCCAAAGTGATGGGATTACAGGCATGAGCCTCCTCGCCCAGCCTAATAATGTTGAATATTATGAAATTATAGTGTGTGGGGTTTTGCTATAGAGAGTGGTTTTTATCCATGGCTCCTGAATCTTAACTCCCATAGACTTTGTTACAGTGCTTTATTACAATGTTGCCTGTGCCAGGCCTCAGGGGCAGGCCTTAGGAAACAAAATCTCTCCAACCTCCTCTTTTCTTTCTTTCACCTGCCCCAATGCAGGAATCTAATCCTCCCCCACCTTCTGATTGTGGGTTTTAAGACCCTTCCCAGAGAAGGTCTCACTGTATACACTGGGGGAAGGAGGCTGACATCTTGAAACCTCCATAAAAACCCAAGAAGACTGAGCTCTGGCAACTTCCAGATGGCTTGCCACATGGGGTTTCCTGCAGGGTGGGGCCAGGGAACGCAGGGAAACTCCTCCCCCTCCCCTATGCCTCGCCCTACACATCTTTTCATCTGGGTCCTTTAAACTGTCCTCCTTAATAAACCAGTAAACATAAGTACAGTGCCTCCCTGAGTACTGTGAGCCACTCTAGTGAATTAATTGAACCCAAAGAAGGGGTCATGAGAACCCCAACCTGAAGTCAGTCGGTCAGAAGTTCCAAAGGCCCAGACTTGAGACTGGTGTTGGGGGTACAAGGGGAAGGGTGGTAGTCTTAGGGAATGAGCCCTCACCCCGTGGGATCTCACACAATCTCCAAGTAGACAGAGTTGAAATGGGTTTGGGGGACACCCAGCTAGTGCCCACTGCTCGGTGGTGGGGAGAAACCCCTATATTTAGTCACAGAAGCCTTCTTCTGTAGTGATGATTGCTGCGGTGTGAGAGCAGAGGGAAAAATTCGATTTGGAAGAAGTTTTCCCAAAGTATAAGGAATGGCTAGCCAACTCTTTCTTGCTTGAGAAGATTGAGAGGAGAAGAACAAACAGGGTGATCACTAAAGATTTGGTCGCTCATTCAAAAAGCATTTTCTAAGCACCCAGACATCCTTGGGCCTGTGTTAGTCACTGGGGACACCAAAACAAATAACAC